ACAGAGAAAAAGAGACTCAGAGAGACAGAGGGAGACAGAGAGAGAGAAAGAGAGAGAGAGAGAAAGAGAGAGAGAGCGAGAGAGAGAGAAAGGGAGGAGGAGAGAGATGTGGTTGTGAAATATTGGGAGCGAAGGTGTTGAAAGGGATAGTGTAAAAGTTATATCAGTAGAGTTCTTCAAGGGCAATGCCTGACACACTGCCACGAGACAAGTTCATTATTATTATTCGGCAAGTGCTATGTCAGGCCTGTCTTTAATGTATGGCAGGAATGTTTTGTATTTAACGGGAAGAAGACGACAACAAATGTGTATGTTTCTGAGGTCACATAAACCTTGCTGGCCGGTTTTGGACAATTGCTACCAGTGTTGTTATAGGAGTGAAGAAAATGTTTGCAAGAGAATTGATGCATCTCCATGGCATCAGAATACTAAATCATTTTCAACTTAAATTGTACCTCTCAGGATTTGCATGAAGAGAGAGCGAAGAAGCCACGTCAAATACAGGTTTCCAATTTTGCACATTGATTAACTGTTTAACGTACTCAGCACAATAAATTATTGAATTAAGTAACTCCCCTGTGTTAGCCTAACCTTGTGTTTGATTTGCCCATCGATGCAAGCACGCACCTCTTGGTTTATCTAAACCGCTCTAGTTGTGACACATGCATTCCAACTAATAATGCTTAACAAATAAACATGTTACGCACCTTTATCGAATTAACTTTTGGTTGGACTTGAACCTTAACTGCTTTGTTCTATGTGCCTTGATTTTTCCTGGCTGTGTCTGATTTGTTTTAAATTTTTGCACGTTTACATTCTTTTTGATTACGCAAACCTTTGACAAACTTATAATATACACTGAATTCAGATGCAGTGACTTTGAACTTTGTTTTTAGTCTTAATTCCGGTATTTCATTTCATTGAATACCGTAGGCTCTTTTCTTAAAAGGCATCGCTTAAGGACTGATTATTGGGATTATTACATGTTTCTAAAGTGTGTGTTTTTTTACCCAACTTTACTCTCCTGGCTGTTGAATG